ACGTTAGAAAAACAGCAGCAAATAAAATAAATAAAAGACTATAAAAATAATCTAAAGCTGGCGTTTTTCTGATGCAGGCCCAAGTAAAAATGCCATAGGGCCTTCAGGTTGCGGTGACGCGACCTGGGGGCCCTATTCCAACCTCGGGTCCCGTGAGGGGCACGTGTGTAGGCTTTCAGCATGTAACACTTCCTTTGCTCGAAAACTCCTAGCACTCGAATTCGCACATTTTCCTTTCACTCTCCACAATCTTTTCCATTTCCCACCTTTTCTGCACTTTTCTACCACCTTTTTTCACTTTCTTCAAATGATGTGTAAGAAAAGTAATTGCAAGTAAGATGAGCAATAGCGAACTTCAGATAGTCGTGACCTCGAACCAACAGCAGAATTGCATCACGAGATTCACCAAATAAGAACACACCAAGAGTTCATACTTGACAATGCTGAAATAGTCCCACCATCATCAACTAAGAACCAGAGTTGATATCCTATATGGCGCTCGGCGCCCAGACTACATGTGGCAGATCCTATCTAGCCTACACTACGATGCCGAAAGATGACATGAACAGCTTTCCTGAAGTACGAGTATATGGCGACCAATGTCGCACGCTTCCAGCACCAGGTATGTCTCTCGCCACACTCACAACCTCGTTCCCCAACACACAGATGCTACTAGCACCCAAGGACCACCGTGCGCTTCACCCAGCTTACAGCAGCGCAGCTCGGCTATGGCTGCGTGCTCCTTCCCTGCTCGCCCGTGAGAGCGTGGGCACCAGCCAGCAAATAGTGCAGCAGCGCTTGCGCAGCATGCAGCGAGCACCCGAATGCCGAATCAGGAGGCAGGCCCTTTGCTATATCGAAGTGGCCTGCTTGCGTCCAGTCCCAGGAAGCTTCCAGTAGGCCCCGGTAGCCTGAGGCCCAGCACGACGAGAACAGGCCTTGGGCCTGAGGTGGTTGCATGTGTCCAGCTGCCTTTGGCCTGTGTTTGGCCCGGTACCCGTATCCAGCCCAGGGCCTGCTTCACATTCATTTACACAGGCGGCCCAGGGCCTGGGTTCACTCAACCAACTGGCGCTGCGCAACTGCCTGAATTTCCCTAAGTTGCGTGGTGGCCAGAATAGGACCCTGAGGGCCTCGTCGAGCCTGCCTTCACTTAGGGCGGCCGACGGGCTGCAAAATGGGGCCTTATGGGGCTCACAGAGGCAGTGGCCTCGCATTCCCTCCTCCTTAGCTTCAACAGTCCTCTGAGAAGCTGAGTCTTCAACCATGGGGCGCTTTCCCTTTTGCAGAGATCTCTCGTATTGGGCTACAACTTGAGGAGCGGTCTGCACGAGTTCTTCCCTGGTGAACCAGCGGTCCTCCTTCAGATCAGTGTGATGCCGGAACTGAGCGCGGTACTGCAGCTTCGGTTTCGGAGGACGTCCCTGCCTGCTGGTCTTGATACCGGCAGCTCTCTGTTTTCCACGATGTCATTGATGTCCACCTCTCCGTCCATGGTTGGGGGCAGCATTGAGCGTCGAGATGGAAACTGATCAGTTTCTTTAAAAGGTGCAAGTTTGGAGGTGTGGAAAACAGCGTAAGTGCGTACGTGATCAGGGATGCGAATAACATAAGAAGGCCCATCTGGCTCATCCCCGACAACATCCAGAATCTCCCACGGTCCAAAGTACTGTGGCATGAGCTTGCGGGAGATCCCGTGCTCCTGTCCCAGTTCGGAGGACTTGACCCAGACTCTCTCTCCTACCTGAAACGTAGATGGGCGGCATTGTTTGTTCTCAGACTCTATCATCGCCGCCTGTGCCTTCTGCATGTGCTCTACAGCCTGCTGCATCAGCTGCTCATATCGATAAGCAAACTCTGAAGTTCCTGGTGCAGCAGAGGGCTGGTTGTCAAGTAGTAGGAAATCCAAGAGCAGTCTAGGCTTAAAGGTCAATAGCAGACTATTCAGGCTCACGCCCGTCACGCTGTGAACCGCGTTATTGTACAGGCTGGCAATGAGAGCAAGTTTCTCATCCCAGTCTACCTGATTTGGCTTAATATAATGCCTCAGCAAGTGTTGTACAGCGCGGTTCAACTGTTCTGCTTGTCCAATCGCCTCGGGATGGTTTCCCGATGTCATCTGCAGCTGCGTTCCCTGTTCTGCAGCTGCGGCGCAGACTATTCGGGCTCACGCCTGTCACGCTGTGAACCGCGTTATTGTACAGGCTGGCAATGAGAGCAAGCTTCTCATCCCAGTCTACCTGATTTGGCTTAATATAATGCCTCAGCAAGTGTTGTACAGTGCAGTTCAACTGTTCTGCTTGTCCATTCGCCCCGGGATGGTTTCCCGATGTCATCTGCAGCTGCGTTCCCTGTTCTGCAGCTGCGGCTTTCCACAATTCACTTGTGAATCGCACATCACGGTCACTGACTATAGACTTTGGTAATCCAAAATCTCTAACCCAATTTTCTTTGAACAGCTTAATTACATGCTCAGTCTTCGGTGTCTCAGGCATTGCAGCTAATCTAGCAAACTTCCTAAATCTATCCACAATGACGTAGACGTAGCGCATTCCAGTCTTGCTGGTGACCAGCGTATCCATGAAATCCATGGACAGGCTCTCACCACGCCTTTCCGGAATTGGAAGGGGCTTTCGGAGTCCAAGAGGAGCCTGAGTACGTGGCTTGTCTCTTTGACAGACCTCACAAGTCACCACGTACAACTTCGCGTCTGTCATCATCGTGGGCCACCAGAACTGCTGCAACAGATTGGCTGCAGTTTTCTTAAAACCAAAAGGGCTGGTGGCATCATGGCACTCACCTAAAAACAAACTACGCAAAGACTCCCTACTCAGAACACACAAACGTTTATTCCCAGCCTTCTCAAGGAACAGCAAGCCGTTGACCAACTCAAACTCAGCAGAAGTCACTTTGTCCTTCGCCTAGAGTATGCGGATGATCTCAGACATGAGCGGATCCTCGCGATAGGCTTCCACCATGGACTGAGTGACATTGTCCGCAAGCCCAAACTCAGTGATCAGCGCACCAGAGAAATCTGGTCTACGGGACAGGGCATCCGCAACCTTGTTGTACTCGCCCTTGATGTACTGAAGCTCGAAGTCGTACTGCTCTATGACTTCGATCCAACGCTTGAGGGCGTCAGAGAGTACCGGCTGAGTTCTCATCCATCTCAGGGTCTAATGATCAGTCCTGAGGATGAAGAACCTCCCAAGGAGATAGTGTCTCCAATGGGTCAGAGCCTTGTACACCGCGTAGAGTTCCTTCTCATAGGTGGACTTTGCCAACTTCTGAGAGGGCATCTTTTTGGACATGTACTCTACTGGCCTTAACTTTTCCCCCTCCTGTTGTGCAAGAACGGCGCCTATGCCATATTGGCTAGCATCCATAGTTACTATAAATGGCTTGTCAGGATCAGGAAGTTTCAAGACGTCGTAATGCGTCAACGCATGCTTCAGATGTCTGAAAGCAGCCTCGCATCTCTCAGTCCACTCCCATGGGGTGTCAAGGCGGGTCAGATCAGTCAAAGGGGCGACAACTATGCTATAGTTCTCCACGAAGTTGCGATAGTAGCCGGTCATCCCTAAGAAAGATCTCATCTCAATCACAGACTGAGGACGTGGCCAATCACGAATGCTGGCCACCTTCGCATCATCGGGCTTCAACCCTTCCGCGGATATCTCATCACCCAAGTACAAGACACGGGTGCGGCCAAACTCGCACTTCTCACCGTTGATCTTAAACTGGTGCTGTCGTAGGAGACTAAGGACTTTGTCCAAGTGCGCAACGTGCTCCTCGACAGTCTTACTAAAAATAAGTATGTTATCGAGGTACACGATGACAAACTTATCCAAGTAGTCATGGAATGTCCGATTCATAACGTGCTGAAAGGTGCCAAGAGCATTGCAAAGGCCGAGAGGCATCACCACAAACTTGTAGAGACCGTACCTGGTCTGAAATGCGGTTTTGTGTTGATCCTCGGGCCGGATTGCAATCTGATGGTACCCGGACTTCAGATCTATCTTACTGAAGTACCGACACCCTTGCACTCTATCAAGCAAATCATAGATGCGCGGTAGGGGCTCTCTATTCTTTGTAGTGATGGCGTTGAGGCCCCTACAGTCAATGCACATCCTCAGTGTGCCCTCCTTCTTCTTAGGTACGAATAGTATTGGAGATCCATAAGGAGAGACACTCGGCCGGATCCAACCCTTCTCTACGAGTTCCTTGAGTTGTCAACGAAGCTCATCAAGCTCGCCTGGAGACATCCAATAGATCCTACCCTTCGGGATGCTAGACCCTAGGATAATCTCTATCGCGTGGACGACCTCGCTCTCTACAACCCTTGTCGGCGCTTCAAATAGATCAGGGTACTTGGCAACTACTACCTCTATCTACGGTGGCATTTTCACCGGCTCGCCTACAGCAGAGACATAAACTAAGTACATACCCTCCTCCTGGTTTTGCTTATAATAATTGTAGAACGCGGCCGCACACATGCATCCATGAGACTCGATCAGACTACTAGCTTTGAACTTGCGCAATCTGGCGGTCCCTCCACCTGGCAAAGTGTGTTTGACCACTTTTCGGTCCCAGTCAAACTGGGGCTCAGCCACAGAGAGGTAGTACATACCTAGTAACATATCCATTGGGAGCTCCTCACTCACTAGGAACGAGCCGTGATGTCTCAATTCCCCTCCTGCTTACGGGAAACAACACTCTACATCCTGGAGGTAGTCATTGACTACCATGCGCTGTTTGTTGGCACAAGTCAACTCAGGCGCTGCACTCGCCCCTGTAAACGCAGCCTCTCAACGCACGCATGACTAATAAAGTTTCTTGTCGAGCAAGTGTCATAATAGGACCCGGCCTTGCGGCCGGCAATGACAACCTCGCTGACGAACATCTCACCCTTAGGGGCTTTGACTAGGGCCGTCCAAGAAGCTAGCGGGTCTGATCTAGACCACTCCACCTCTAGCTCCTCTAAGGACTCGAACACATTCATCGAACAGAGGCTTGATGGGTCTGAACGTGTTTGCGGGACGACGCTGGAGTCAGTAGCTTGGGCCATCTCTCGAGATGGTGAGGGTGTCTCCACCACCTCGACCCTAGCAGGAACAACTACTATTCCTACTGTCCCGACGTGTTTCCCGGAGCACTGCCTGAAGTACTGGCAACATTGCTACCAACGGGATGAGAGGATCCCAACACCTACCCCATCGCAAGCGGGATCTTTTCGGTTACCTTCTTGTTGCGGCACTTGTACTAGCTATGGCCATATTGACCGCAACGTATACAGGCCCGCCGTGAGTAACGATCTCTCCACACGCCCTTTGTAAGACCTGAATTCTCCCATGGAGGAGCATTGGGATCAACTTGACTCCTAGACCGGGAACCTCCACGACGTCTACCGGTCGCCTTACCTTTTTGAGTTACGGCATCGACTACTCCGCCCTCTTAAGCTTCTACGCTGCCAGCCTCTGAACCTGCTCCTTCCGGGAAGTGTTTGTCTGCTTCGATAGTAGAACCATCGTTATCGACAAACATTAAGCGCCCCTTCGCCTTCCAGTCGGGAGGCAGTGTCTTTCTTCTCCCATCCGTAGTGGGTGCCTGTCCATGCCCTATCTTAGCCTCAAGGTCTAGGGCCATCTTGCTGAACGAAGGGAAGTTGTGCATATTGATGTTGGCCTGACTTGCCAACTGGTTCCTGAGAGGCTGAGAAAAGCATCTCAAGTACGAGGTAAGCAGAACCTGGGGGTCATAGCGCACCCCTTGGACACAGATCAGACGCTCAACAGCGTCGATGGCTTCCCTCACTGACTTAAACTGCCGCGTGTGCAGTGTCAGGATCGCATCAGTGGCCCCTTGGGCCTCCTGAGGATCGTGCCACCTTTCTTCCACCATCTTCAAGAAGTCCTCCAATTTTTGGGTGACCGCCCAAGCGTGGAAGTCATGACCGTATCCCTGGAGCTGCACTAAACCGCTCAACCGTCTTGCTGCGCTACCCTCAAGGTAGGAAGCAGCCACAAGCACTTCTTCGTGCGGCAAGGTAAGTTTACACCTGACATAGACTGCCACTGACCTCAACCATGTGTCGAGGTCCCCGAGGTCCTCGCCTCTCTTGTCCCCTGTGAAGGGTTTCGGAGTGGCGATGGTCGTCTTTGGAACCAATGTGTTTGTGTCGGTCCCTGCATCACAACGGGTTGTGGACCCTGTGACACAGGTTGCTGTGCTAACTGCTGGGGTTGTGTGCCCTGCAGCTGCACAGGCTGCGAGACAGCAGGCTGCATGGTGACTGCAACCTGCAACGGAGTTTGTGTGAACACTGTCTAAACAGGAACCTGCAAACTAGTCCCTGTTGATACCCCTCCTGACAGCGGCATGCCCAAGGAAACGATCGCAACCGATGACGGGGCTACATATGGGGATACCCCAATCACCGGTGGGACATAAGGAGGAGGATGTACAACAGGCCAGGCACCAGGCCCGGACATTGGCGTCGTTGCCTGCGTTCGCCCAGCCAACAGGGCCAGACTTTGCTGGATGTCATGAAGGATGGTTGTCTGATGGTCCTGCATCTCTACTACATTCAGCAGGACAGACCATACGAGTCTCACATCATCACTCACGTTCGTCAGGTCCATCTCCTCTAAATCACTAACGTCCGCTTGTCTACGTTGCATCCTGGCTCTTCTTCTAATCATTCTATCTTTCTCCGCTTTTATTTCTCCGAACGCCTTCTTTAGCTGTGCCCCCTGCAATGCTGCTTGTTGTATGGCAATCTCATCGGGAGTTAACACTACTGGCTGGCTCGCCATGACGCCAGTGGACTGACTTTGGGTTTGTGCAACCGTTGACCCAACAAACCCTGAACTACCGGTCTGAGTAGACTGTTGTGCTAAGGTGGCCATGGCTTCTGAAGCTGCGGCTTCACTCACAAGTGCCCTGCTAGCCTCTGCTGCTCTAGCCCTCCTCTGCTGCTGCTGCCTCTCCCTAAGCTGGCAGAACAGATGTTTGTCGCCCTCTGATCCTAATGCCAAATGGGCTAGTGGGCGCCTTGCCGATCGCAAGATCCGATCGTCCTCTCGAGTGTCCTCCTGGTCGCTCATAATCTACAGCCCTGTGCACAATCTGCACTATTACACTCTAGGTGCCTACCGCAGCGTAGTGCACAGACCAATAAACTGGTGGCTATATCGAAGACTTTACATTCGGATCAACAGGTAAGTCAGATTCCTGCAAATAAAACTATTTTTAGTTTGACAAGTCCGCAAACAGAAGCACCAGGAACAATAAACAGTTCTAACTAATGTTGTCTGTCAAATGTCAATGGCTGTACACCTAGCTAATCAAAACATAAAAATAGAATTATTTATGTGGATAGGACAGCATGGAATTTTCTCGAACTTATCACCTGGAATCAACGCCTCCCTTAGTTCCCCTGAGTATCTCTTGACGTAAGTGTCCCTAAGCAATCTGGAGAGCGTCGCGTGTCTAAAGGTGTGTGTCCGGCCCACCCCTGTGCCCCGAGTATCTGCTGAACTGGCCAGCCCTGCACTGGATTATCCTCACGCGCAGCGAGCCTTACAACCATTGGCTAATCCAGAGGCAATTCAACGCCCGCCCCCAGGTGACTCCAGGAATTCTTTTACGTCGCAGACGGACAACGATCACAGCCAGTGGTTCCCCTTCCGGTGCTTATTTAAAGACGCCCGGTCTCGTCTCCCTCAAGGGCTGGCCTGCCCAACAGCACCCATCTAACAGTGCAGCAAGCCAAAGAAGGACAAGCAGCAAGACATGCGTGCTCTACTCCCTGTGGGTTGGCATGCTGACCGTGACCCAGTGCTTCGTCTAGGGCCCTTCAGAAAGCTTCGCCCACCTTCTCCCAAATGCTCCACGTGAACAGTGCCGACTCTCAAGGTTGAGCGCACTCGACACCTCACAGTGAGAGGACTCTCAAGAAGGAACACACAACCTCACGGTAAGAAATGTCGGAGAGGGTAGATAAGGTTAAGAGCAACGTACCTCAAATAGCTGCCCCCAACCACAGAGATAATCTCACCAGATGACCAGATGGCGATTGCGATGACCAGTCACTGCATCGGCACAACCAGCATTATCTCGCTGTTCCACCTCAGCATCAATCACACATCGGATAGTTCTCATCACATTGCGAACAGCCAATATACACCAAGTAGCCTTCCTGGCGATCCCCTCACCTCCTGGGTCGCCACTCACTCGCCTCCGCCTTCCTCACTACACACCACTTACGGCCAAACTCGCCAAGCAGACCGCATGTATGTACCGTACCAGGCAGAAGACAAGCGCCAGATGAGCGCAAACGTACCACAGCTCGGATACCAAATTGCAAGGAAGATGAGCAATAGCGAACTCCAGCAATCAAACAGCAGCATACATATGAGTCCAGATAGTCGTGACCTCGAACCAACAGCAAAATTGCATCACGAGATTCACCAAATAAGAACACACCAAGAGTTCATACTTGACAATGCTGAAATAGTCCCACCATCAGCAACGAAGAACCAGAGTTGATATCCTACCTGGCGCTCGGCGCCCAGACTACATGTGGCAGATCCTATCTAGCCTACACTAGAATGCCGAAAGATGACGTCAACAGCTTTCCCGAAGTACGAGCATATGGCGACCAATGTCGCACGCTTCCAGCACCAGGTATGTCTCTCGCCACACTCACAACCTCGTTCCCCAACACACAGATGCCATTAGCACCCAAGGACCACCCTGCGCTTCATCCAGCTTACAGCAGTGCAGCTCGGCTATGGCTGCGTGCTCCTTCCCTGGTCACCCGTGAGAGCGTGGGCGCCAGCCAGCAAATAGCGCAGCAGCGCTTGCGCAGCATGCAGCCAGCACCCGAATGCCGAATCAGGAGGCAGGCCCTTTGCTATATCGAAGTGGCCTGCCTGCGTCCAGTCCCAGGAAGCTTCCAGTAGGCCCCTGTAACCTGAGGCCCAGCACGACGAGAACAGGCCTTGGGCCTGAGGTGGTTGCATGTGTCCAACTGCCTTTGGCCTTCGTTTGGCCCAGTACCCGTATCCAGCCCAGGGCCTGCTTCACATTCATTTACACAGGCGGCCCAGGGCCTGCTTCACATTCATTTACACAGGCGGCCCAGGGCCTGCTTCACATTCATTTACACAGGCGGCCCAGGGCCTGGGCTCACTCAACCAACTGGCGCTGCGCAACTGCCTGAATTTCCCTAAGTTGCGTGGTGGCCAGAATAAGACCCTGAGGGCCTCGTCGAGCCTGCCTTCACTTAGGGCGGCCGATGGGCTGCAAAATGGGGCCTTATGGGGCTCATAGAGGCAGTGCCTCGCATAATTGTCCTTGCCATTATTTTCCTTGCCATTTATACAAATGGTTCCCATCTTTTACTTTATGTTTCTTTCTTGGGAAAAAAAAAAAAGAAAAGCAAACAGTGATGGTTCTTTCCCTTTTCTTCCCATCTAATGTCCATTCTTTTCCTTACTCTTCTGCATTTTCTAAATTAAGAAATATGTTGAGACCTCCCAAAAAATGCAAACACATGTTACAAATTTGTGCTCCATTATTTGACTCAAATTGCCCGAAGAATACAGCTCTTTTCATCCGGCCCTGCGTCCCAAGGCCACAAATACATCACGGAAAAAAAAAGCATAAAGTCTCAGCAAGCGCCACAACTAAATTTATTTCAAAAAACAACCGGACAGAGCCCCTCCCCCCGCCTGGGTAGAGTTGTCTCCAATTCTACCCAATCTCCCTCTTTCTCCATTCGAAAACAGATTATCCCTCCTGAAGCCACCTCTTCTTCTTCTTCTTCTCTCTCTCTCTCTCTCTCTCTCTCTCTCTCTCTCTCTCTCTCTCTCTCTCTCTCTCTCTCTCTC